TGAATGGGGGAATTAAGGAGCTCTGTATTGGGGTGAATGGGGGAATTCAGGAGGCCTTTATTGGGGTGAATGGGGGAATTCAGGAGCCCTGTATTGGAGTGAATGGGGGATTGAGGAGCCCTGTATTGGGGTGAATGCGGGGATCTTGTGTTGGGTGAATGGGATGTGGGGTGTCCTATAGAGAGATTTTAGGGGGAGTGAATAGATTTGTATTGGGGGATTTGAGGGACCCTGTATTGGAGTGAATGGAGAGATTGGGGACCCCTGTTTTGGGGTGAGTGGTGAATTGGGGGACCCTGGAATGGGGTGAATGGGGGAATTAAGGAGTATTAGGATGAGTGGGGGGTTTGTATTGGGTGAATGGGATGTGGGGTGTCCTACAGGGAGTTTTTAGGGGGAGTGAATAGATTTGTATTGGGTGATTTGAGGGACCCTGTATTGGGGTGAATGGAGGGATTGGGGAGCCTTTTATTGGGGTGAATGGGGGAATTAAGGAGCCCTGTATTCGGGTGAATGGGGGGATCTTGTGTTGGATGAATGGGATGTGGGGTGTCCTATAGGGAGTTTTTTGGGGGAGTGAATAGATTTGTATTGGGTGATTTGAGGGACCCTGTATTGGGGTGAATGGGGGGATTGGGGAGCCTTTTATTGGGGTGAATGGGGTGTTCCCTGCCCTCCCCRGTATGAATACAGTAGTTAAGGTTTTATTTGGAATCTCCAAGAAATGGGAAAAGCCAAAGGCTGCTGGAAAACAGCAGAGGAAACCCCAGAGACGGGGGAAGGTGAATGCTCAACCCAGGACTGGCCCTGGACTTTTGGGGGCCCAGGGGTGGGTTCTGCAGGGAACGAGGAGCTGGGAGAAGGTTTTGGGGCTGGAGTTGTGGGAAACACAATAGGAAAAGCCCCTCTGGGTGCCTGGGATGTGTCTGGAGTCAGGGCATCTCCCATTTGGGGCAGCAGGGAAATCTAAGAGGATCCTACAGGTTGCTCAGTGGTGTTTGTCTGTCCCAGAGAGGGATGAGAGCTTTTTTTCCAGCTTTTCCCAAAGTTCAGCTCTTCCTCTCAAAGCTGGGATTCTCCAGCTCGTGCGCCTGAAGGGAGAAACTGTAATTCCCTGGGTTTCTCCTCATTGTGGGAGGGTGTTTTTTAGGGTTCAGTGGGGCTGGGAGAGAGGAACAGGGATTTCTGTGAGGATCTCTCTCAAGAGGAGATGGTGTTGGCATGGAAGAGGCTCTCCATGATCCCTCCATCCCCCCATAATCCCCAAGGAAACAGAGGAATTTACAGGAATCCCTATGAGCTCTGTGTTTTTTGTTGGTGTTGCCTCATTCCCAACAGCAAAACCAACAGCAAACCTTGTTTGAATTCCCTCTCCTGGGAATTCCTTTCCATCCAGAGCAGGGAATGCTCCCAGGGATGCTGCTGCCTGCACGGGGAAAGAGTTTTTGGTGGAAAAAAGTGCAAATTTAGGGTGCAGTGGTGGTGCTGGTGCTGGTGGACCAGGACTGGAAAACTCAATCTGGAATTGGGATAAACTTTGGCACTTTGGGATCAGCATCCAGTAGGTCCAAGGAGAGAGATGCAGCTTTGTTGGAATCACTGATGACCCCAAATAGGAACTTCCCACAAACCCAACCTTCTCCTGGTTTGCTCCTGGACCTATAAATCCCTTCTGGACCTATAAAATCCCTCCCTCTGGATTTGTTTTCCTTAATTTCACCCCCTTTCCAGAATGCCCCTCTTCCAGTGGCAAGCCCAACCACGCAGACATCCTGCTCGTAAACTTACAGTACGTGTCAGAAGTGGAAATAATCAACGACCGCACGGAAACGCCTCCCCCTTTAGCTTCCCTCAACGTCAGCAAGGTGAGAACATCCCCATCCCATGAAAATCCCATAAAAATCCCATRAAAATCCCATGRGAATCCAGCGGGATTTGCMACTGGAAYTCGCCTGCTCCCGGCGTGCCGTTCTGGGGCTGGGCTTTGCTCTTTTGGGTTTGGGTTTTAGCAGTTTGGGCTCTGGATTTTGGCACTTTTGGGCTTGGTTTTAGGTGTGTGGATTTTTTTGCATTTAGGATTTTGGGGAGTTTAGGGGGCCTGATTTTTAAGCAGTGTATGTCTAGATTTTTTTTGCATTTGAGGGCCTGATTTTTGGTGTTTTGGGGTCTAAGGTATTCTTGTTTTGCAAGAAGGAAGAGTTTCTGGTAGAAAAAGTGCAAATTTGGGTTTTGAAGGGTTCAGAGCCAAGGTTTGGTAGTTTAGGTTTAGGTGATGGTGTTTGGGGTTTTAAGCAGTGTATGTCTAGATTTTTGGCATTTGGAGGCCTGGATTTTGGCGTTTTGGGATCTAAGGTAATCTTGTTTTGCAAGAAGGAAGAGTTTCTGGTGGAAAAAGTGCAAATTTGAGTTTTAATGGGTTCGGAGCCAAGGTTTTGGTAGTTTAGGTTTAGGTGATGGGATTTAGGGTTTTAAGCAGTGTATGTCTATAGATTTTTGGCATTTGAGGGCCTGGATTTTGGGTTTTTTTTGCAAGAAGGAAGAGTTTCTGGTAGAAAAAGTGCAAATTTGGGTTTTGAAGGGTTCAGAGCCAAGGTTTTGGTACTTTAGGTTTAGGTGGTGGTGTTTGGGGTCTGGATGATGCCATTTTGTGTCCAAATTTTGGCATTTTGGATATGGAGTGTACAGGAGATGTAAAACTGGGAAACTTAGGGAATTTGGAGGAATTGCTTTTCATCCATCCTGGAATGGGATCGTGGCCAAATCCCAGTGATGCYGAAGGGAAGGTGATCCCTTGATGCTGTGAGGTGCTCATTTGTCACCTCCTTGTCCCCCTCTCCCAGGGGTTGGTGTCACACAGGTGGCACCAGCTGGGTGTCCGTCCCCTCCCCGTGTCCCTTCCCGATGGATTAACACCTCGGATGACACAGCTGCCACCAAGATGTGACTATTGGCTGTCACTGCAGCGAGTGACATTGCTGGGAGTGCAGCCCAAGGGGAAAACCCTCAGGAATCCCAATACTCACTCGGGTTTTTGTTTTTTTTTTTTTTTTTGTGGGTTTGGTGTGTGGGGCAATACAGGATGGAGTGGCAGGAAGGGAGTTCTGTGGGATGCTGATGGTTGATACTGGTTGTACTGGGAGAAGGAGTGCTGGTGGAACCCRAAAAGTTGGGGATTTTTGGGCACACACCTATCCCAAAAGGCTGGCACTCACCAGAGCACCGTGGCACAGCATTCAGGGAGATTTTATCGGGATCCCCTTGATCTCCCCAGTGGGATGAGGGGCTTTTGGTGGCCCTGGCATGAACCTTGGTGGCCCTCCTGGTGTCTGCTTGTGAATTCTGTCATTGATGGGGCTCTGGGGAAGTGACTCATCCATTCATTCCGCCCGCACCTTCAGCGGGGACGGTGGTGGAATTCCTCAGAAACGTCTGATCCGTTTCCTCTCGGGAAGGAGATGGACAGGCAGGACACACCCTCCTGAGCACGGGGATGGCTCCTGTCGGAAATTCTGGGATGCTGCCGGTTCTGGCGCCTCTCCAGGGTTTTCAGTCTCCTCCTGGTGGCCTCTAGTCAGGGCTGTCCCCACATCTGGGGATGCTGGGAAGGCCTTGAGGGTGTCACATCCTTGGGGACACCCAACACCCCTCCTTGTTTGGCCTCCAGTCTGTGCTGGGGGTCTCCAGCCCCCTCTTCCCACCATTTCTTCCCATTTCCCACCATTTCTTCACCATTTCAAGCAGCTGCTTGGCGACAGAGCAGATTTAAACCTCAGGCTCTAAACCTGCTCAGGGAAGCGTGGAGGGCACGGCAGAGGAGATTCCCGATGCTCTGCCCCACGATTCCAGCCCATCCCACTGTGGTGGGATCTCAATTCTCACCCCCCAAATTCATTAGGGAGTGTGGCACCCCCAAAAAGCAGCGTGGGGTGCAGGGAAGTTCCCGTGGAACGTTGTGCTTGGTTTGGAAGCCGGACTGGTGATTTTGGAGAGAGCAATTCCCAYATGGAACGGGGTGGGTGGCTTGTGAAGGTGAGGAAGGCTCCTGGCCCTGTTGAGATATTCCTTATTCTCTGGGGGAAAAATCCCAGTGCTTCTGCAGTGATTCTGCTCCACATGTCACCAGAGGGGACATGGATACCTGGGAGAGGGACACCTGTCCCTTTAGGGCACTGAAATGTCCCCAGGCAGTTGGAATTCAGGCTCTGGAAGGGATGAAACCACCCTCAGGCAGCACCAGGAAGCCAGTCTGGCTCGGGGAACGTTTCCAGGAGGCTCCAGGAGGAGGAAGAGGAGGGATGATGCTGTTGTGGCTCCTCCACTGCGGCAGCTCCAGCCGGGAAAAGGCAGCTGGTCCAAAGCTGCTGCCTCCAGGCACTGCATCCTTCTCCTCCCACATCCATGGGATTCGACATGGGGGATGCCAGGGTCGGGGTTTTCCATCTCTATTCCAGCTCCCTGTGTGTAATCACACCTCCCCACACACGGATGAGACTCCCAGATAACCAATTCTGGTTATTTTTTTGGGAACAAATCAACTGCTGCAGGCTAAAGTTGCTCGTACTCCTGTGTGGAGAGTTTACTCCCAGTGTGATGGGTTTTCAGGCTCCTCTTCCCCATCTCCATCCTGAGCAAAAACTGTGTGGTTTTTACCAATTTTAGACCTAAAATGCCAGAATTGATTTGGAAAAGGCCGAGGGGAAGGGATAGGGGGATGTGAAAATACAGCACCACCATCCCCCAAATCTCTGAGAGACCCTGACAGTGGTGAGGCTGCCTCAGAAGGGGAATTTAGGCTGGGATTGTGAGTGGCAGAGCCATGTCCAGGCTGTCCCTGTGTCCCCTCATTGCTCCAAGCCCAATTCCCTGTCACTGTTTTTTTTTTCCCAGCTTGCCAACAAAGCGCGGACGGAGAAGGAGGAGAAGATGAGCCAGGCGTATGCAATTAGTGCTGGTGTCTCTCTGGAGGGGCAGCAGCTCTTCCAGACTATCCATAAGACGTAAGTTCCCCACTTTGGGATCCCCCTYGGCATCACCACGCTGTGTTTTGGGGTCCCTCGTGGCTTTTTTGGGGGGATTCCTGTCCCTGGGTCCCTCAGGTTTGCTGTGGGATGCTCAGKGATGRGAGGGATGGGATATTCAGGGAGGAATTATGATTCCCTTCCTATTCCCTGCCTCTTCCTGCCACTCCCACCTTTCCCCAGTTGGATACTGGAGTTACTGGGGGGCTCTTTGCCCCCTCAATGGGATGCAGACCCATTTGAGGGGTMACTGCTGGCTTTCCCTCATCCCGTTTTCCCTCCCCTCAGCATTAAAGACTGTAAATGGCAGGAGAAGAACATAGTTGTGATGGAAGAAGTTGTCATTGCCCCTCCGTACCAGGTGGAAAACTGTAAAGGCAAAGAGGGAAGCGCCCTGAGCCACGTACGCAAAATAGTGAGTGTGGACTGGGGACACTGGGAGTGCTGGGAGGGTGGTGGCACATCCTTGGGGACATCCAGGAGTTCTCCTTGGGTGGCTCCAGCCCGTCCTGGGCAACCCCTTCCCACTCCACATCCCCTTCCTTCCCACTCCACATCCCCTTCCTTCCCACTCCACATCCCCTTCCCACTCCACATCCCCTTCCCACTCCACATCCCCTTCCCACCCTTTTTTGTGTTCAAAATTCTGAGTAGGGGTTGCTGGAAAGGCCTTGAGGGTGTCACATCCTTGGGGACACCCAAGACCCCTCCTTATTTGTCCTCCAGTCTGTCCTGGGAGGGGTCTCCAGCCCCTCTTCTCACCATTTCTTCCCTAAAACCCCTCTTTTTTCACCTCTCCATCCCCATTATCATCTTCACAGCACGTTCTTTGAGGGTTCATGCTTCAATCCACCTGGATATGTTTTAGATTGCAGACATTGTGAAAACGACACCAAGAATAGCAGACAGCAAAATGAAATACGTAGAAAAAAATCACATTGAGAAGAGGTCCAGTTATTCCATTTGTCCTTTTCTGGTTATGCAGGTGGAGAAACACTTCCGGGACGTGGAAAGCCAGAAGGTCCTGCAGCGTTCACAAGCACAGCAGACACAGAAGGACACGTCCCTGTCATCCTGAGGCCACTTCAGGATCACCCCCCTCCCTTCGTCCCCTCCTTGGAGGCGGCG